ATTGTCGTCGTGGCAAAACCAGTCTCCCATCTGCCAGAAATCAAGCCTTTTTTGTTGCACACGGTTATGCAATCTTTTCAGAACTTGTAAATAGAAAGCTTAACTAACAGTCTGACTTGGTGGAACAAATTCCAAATGCACTATCCTCCTCACATCACATCGGTTTTGAGGGTGTGCCCCTTCATATACACATGTATGTATATATCTTTTATATAATATATAGATGTATAATTTCAGAAGAATGTTTATTAAGTCTTAAAGGAGACAGAGACAACACATCATCTGGAGGAGGAAGGCCATTAGCACGAGATCATAACACCTCAAATCCTCCATTTCCTCTCAACTCTCTTCATTCTCTTGGACAAACTTTAGTTTACAATTCTGGGCTCCCAAGACTCTCTGCACACTTGGAGAAGTCCATTATAAAACCCATTATTACATTTAAGAATAAATAATTTGCTCGTTTGTCCACCTCATTAGAGATGAGCACTGCTGTCATACGGACTGTTTTACTCATCTCTGTCCCACCCCCCCTCCAGCAGCACATCACCTCATGTCTAGCTTAGAGCCCAGGAGCGCTTTAGTGGTTGGATAGATGCATATGTTACACCCCAGGTCCCCATGCATACAGCTTCTCAAGTCTCTACTCTTACATTCATTCCTCTACTTCTGAGAACAACATGGGGAGGCAGGGATTGTTTGTGCCATTTCAGCAGAGAAAGCAGACTCAGGTCAAGGCTAGTGTCTGGCAGGACTGAGAGCCCCATTCAGGTCTGTAGCATTCTCGTCATACTTCTCTGGGCTGCTTCAGTGGCACGTTCTCACAGGTAGCATCCTCCCTGCTCGGTGCTAACAGTCTGCAGCCCACCACCATCCCGCACCATCTCCTGGGGTTTCCTTGTCAACTTTAGCCACACAGGTCTGAGCGCACACAGCTCAGTCCACAGCTCCGAGCCACTCCTGTCTGTTGCCCAGCCTGGTTGAGACCTGCTCTCTGAGCATCTGCAGAGTGAAAAGCCCTGTGCAGGGTGCTCCTGAGGATGCCAAGACCAGTCAAATGCAACTCCTGCTTTCAACGATGACAAGGCAGGACATGGTGTTTCCATTAAAAAAAAAGGTCTGAGTGTAGGACTTAGGGATTTTTAAGGATTGAAATAAACCCCCCAAGTTTTATAAGATGCAGCACATTTTAGGCTTTATGGCAGAGGCTGGGAGAGCAGGAGTGGGGGTCGGAGGGCGGGAGGGCAGGCTGTGCTGTGTGCAGACTGCTGAGCAGCGAGGGAGCAGCAGAGGCATTAGTAGAATGCTGTGGACAAGGCCTGGCCACGCCTTTAAGGCATTCTCTCTGCTGCCCCTGCCCGTCATGAGCCGTGAAACCAAAAGCCCCTTCCAGGAGGCCCTGCACCTTAAGCCACTCCCACTTGTGATGGTTTGTGACTTGCGGCCACTGCAGTCACATGCACATAGAGCACGTCTGTTTGAGTGTGTCCCGGTTTGTACTGTGCCATGGTGTATGGAATGCACCACAGCATGATGGGAAGGTGTGAACTCGTGTGCAAATTACCAAAGTGTGCCACCGGGACACCCCGTGAGCACGCGCCGACCTACTTACTCGACTCCGGGGTGTCCCGAAACCTTTCTTAAGGGCAATAAGGCAAGGTGTGCCTTTATATCCCTCCTTTTCTGGGCCTCTCTGGGGACTTTTCCTCAGACAGGCGGCCTGCTCCTCAGTCCCACAGGCTGGC